GGTGCTATGCAGTCACGCCGATCCCTTCCCTTTTCAATCAAAAGTACCTGAAACTATAAATATGAAACCGTAAGCACAAATCTTAGTGAGTTCCCCAAAATACCACATATCAAGAAATACAAGTGTCATGGTATTCCCCATGGTATTTCCTTGCATTATCAAGGGCCAAATCTCGGTCTTACATACAACGACAAGGGCCTAGATCCTGGTCTTTCTTAGAATTGCCAGGAGTCAGATCCTGATCTTTCATACAATTGTTAGGGGCCAGATCCTGGTCTTTCATTCAATTTCCAGGGGCCAGATCCTGGTCCTCCATGCAAGCATTACAGAGACAACTAGCATTCCACATAACAAGTAATGATCTGACATTGGTGCCTTCGACCCATGGATATAGTGAGGAAACTCACCTCATAGTCTGAAACAATAGTTGCACCGATCATTTCTCTAAAAGCTATCTCTACCGGTCACCGACCACAAGAGTTTGAGGTATTTGATGGACCAACCAAATCTGAATATGAGGCTCTAGAGATGGTTGGATATGGTAAAGTATTATAATTGTGAGATCCTATACCACCCTGGGAAGGCCAATGTGGTGGCCGATGCTTTGCGTCACAAGGTGGTGAGTTCTTCTATCAGAGATGTTTGGTTGAGGATGATTTTCACCTCGCCTTTGTTGGATTTGATCAAGGAAGCTCATATTGAGGGTTTAAAAAAGGAAAATTGGAAGGTCGAATGGACCAGGGGACATATTCCCTTATTTGTCAAGGACAATCGAGGATTGTTGACTTAATTTGGTAGAGTTTGTATCCCAGTATTAGGTGAGGCGAGACAAACAGTTCTTGAGGAGGTGCATAAGTCAAATTTTTTTATCCATCCGGGGGCCACAAAGACGTACAAGGATTTGAAAATGAGTTATTGGTGGCCCTGTATGAAGAGGGAGATAGCTTTTTTATTGAGCGATGCTGAAATTTTAGGATAGTCAAGGCCAAGCATCAGAGTCCCCATGGCAAGATGCAGCCTTTACCCATTCCTATGTGGAAGTACGAGGAGATCACTATGGATTTCAGCTCAAAATTATCGAGGATGAAACGTGGTGTTGATTCTATCTGGGTCATTGTCGACAGACTGACCAAGCGTGCGCATTTCATATCGATTGCCAAGAGCATATCCATACAACTTCATTACCTATATCCAAAAGGGTTCTAAATCTCTCTTTCCCCCAAGGTCTGAAGCCTTATGATAACCGATCTTCGGGTCATGACCCTGAATTACAAAACGACTTAAAACAGGTATTATGGATTTTAGACCCACGGTTATGGTTTGTAAACTAATTTCTTATTTGGTTTATTTGTTTGTGTTTAGTGTGGGATATTCCGGTTATGTAGCCGAACATCTAGTTATTTATCAGCTGACTGAGGTAAGTTCTCTCATGGTACTCATAGGTCGAAGGCACCAATTTCGGCCCATTATTTGTGATATAGAATGTTAGCTATCTCTGTGGTATGTGTATGAAAGATCATGATTTGGCCCCTGTCAACTGTATGAAAGACCAGGATGTGGCCCCTAGCATCTATATTAAACACCAGCATATGGCCCCTAACACCTGTATGGAAGACCAAAATTTGGGTCTCGGTAGGAATTGCTTGTAAGACTTTGATTTGGCCCATAACACTAACTTATTTATGTATGATATGTGGTACTTGGGGAAACTCACTAAGCTTTTGCTTACATTTTATATTTTTGGTTCCAAGTACTTCGTCTGCTAATGGGAAGGGCCCGACATGATGGCACATCATTCTCCCCGCATTGTTTTCCGCACGTTTTGATATTTTACTATGATAATTTGACATTTTTATTATATAATGGTTTTGAAACAATTTGATGACTGTAGCTCTTGTTTAAAAATGAAAAAAATTATCATGGTTTTTGGGTCATTACACCTGCCGACACGATATGCCTAAATCGAACTCTGCATAGATCCAAGGTCACACCTAAAAACTGAACAATGCCGCCCCAACATCCGAACTTCCAATAACCAAGGAAAACTACCAAACTCGATCCAATTATGAATGATAATTCCACAACCAACAATTGGGGGTACACATCCCTGAAAACCAAGATATACACCCTTCACAACTTTACAAAAGGTTGACCCTTCAATTGCACTTTCATCAGATACAGTTTGAATTCTTATAACAACCTTAGTTGTGGATGACAAATGGAATAACCAATGAATCGAAAAATTAACCCAACAATCTCACATATTGCTGAAGAAGCTCATACCGACATACGCATACCGAACCCTAAGGTTGATCAACAAACCAACCATTGTCTATCCTTGATTAAAGATAGCCGACCCGTAAAGCGAGCAGGCCAATTTTGCAATAACTGATACCCAACCCGCGCGACCCATACGCTCCCTTAGCAAGATCCTTGGCACTCCCAGAAGAGACTACTGACTACAACGAGATCCTTGTCCAACAGGTTTTTGACGTGAAGACATCCCATGTGTCCTTGGAGACATAAACCTAACAACAACTTTCTATGTGCTCATTAACTGATCAATCCTTAAATTATACGCAACCAAGAAGGACTCTGATTGTTCATTGGGAAACACAAACTTTCTAATCACGAGAACTTCTATGGTATCCTACCTTCCTTATCTTATGCAGTAATAATCCTAACCCAAAATCTATCATACCTGAACCATAGATTCCTCTGGCCTAAATTATAAAAATCAAAAATCAAACAGACTGATGGTCCTCCAATCAGAATATCCAATTATCCCTCACTTAAGGTTCGAACCACCACTGATTGACATCTGTAATCAACAAAATCTCAAATTGGATGAGACTGATACATACATAACTAAGATGATTCTTTGGATAATAACCAGACAATCATAAGTAATTTTTGAATCTCAGATGGAAACCTCAAAAACTTTCCCAAGCTTAACCACCACTAACATTAAGAATCCCATGCAAATGTACAAGCAATAACTTTGAAAGTTCCAACATGCCACCAATTTCCAAGCTAGCACACTTGGACTAACCTCACACCTTACCCACAAATTCCCATCAACAACTTTTCACAAATTCAACATAAATACAAGGGGAATCACTCTTATATATGGGAGATACCCAGGACAACGGGAATTATTGGTCTCAAATCACTTCTCATGATTACTTGAAACAACCAGCTAGAGCATGACTTAACAGGTTTCAAAGTAAACAAACCCTTGATCACTCCCTTTACAATCTCAATAGACTAAATCTTTTTCCCATGGTTGAGATATCTCTAGGTAACCATTCCACAAGAATCCTCTTGCGCATTCCTACACTTTTGTGACACCTGCAACCACCAAAATCATCCTATAAATATTCAAAGCATTAATCTGTCACATTGATAGTGCAGGAACCTACACCTACTCATCATTCATGTGTTGAGTCAACATCCTAAATCTGAAATCATACACCCGCTCTTTCTCCCATTTGAACACAAAAGGCTGGAAGGGTATAATCCCTATCGTAGAAAATGTAATCTTAATACATCGGCCGATAACTCATCCCATCCTTGAGTCGATCATTGTAATCACTTCCTTATCGATTCCTGCGACTAAAAATGGCACTACTTCGAGCAATGCCCTTGAGACCATAGAATCAACTAACTCAAACGAGGTTGCATCTTCAGACCCAAACAGGGATGGCTACTAAGTCCTAAACAGTTACTAGACTCATCCTCATCCTGAACAACCATAGCCAAAAGGCTAATAAGAACCGGAACACATTGCACTGAATCATGGTGGCAACCATGCTATCTACCCTCAACCATCTCCTTAGAAACCCTTTTGACTCCTCCTGATTCCCAAATGGATCCTATTCTTTCAAAAGTACAAACATATACTACCTTTCACACATATTCGTAGATATCCCAAGAATTGCCTCAGAGCTCCTAAGTCACTACATACGACCACTACCAACCATTCTAACCACATACACTCGCACCCTAATGAGTATATACCATTAATCTCCCTAAATTCCCTTATAGGATCTCACTTACGTGTAACCTTGCTTTTGTGTAACAAGGGGGGATGAAGAAAATGAGAAAGAAGAATAAGAATCTAATAAAAATGAAGTTCTTGTCAATGATCAAATTCCTAAAGTAAATTTGAGAACTCTTTATGAAATAGGAAAAATGGCTAAGCTTGATGGTGCAAAAGTAGTTCTTGAAAAACAAACTTTGAAGCAAAATTTTGAAAATATCAAAGAAGTGATAATTGGTCGGAAGGGTAATGTATCTTCTGGACCAGGGAAATGAAAAGTGAATAAAAGTTTAGAATATGGAAATAATTTAAATCCGTAATTATTTGAAAGTGAATTGAAAGATCAGATGAAACGTGATAAACAACTTGATGAGTTGATGGTATTGAAAATAGAGATTGAAAGAAGCAACAGAAAAGAATTCTAAGGGAGACAATGGATGCGAAGAAAGCTATATTTCATGGTTGGATTGTAGATCGGATTAAAAAAGAAGCCATTGATAATCTGAATCTATTCTAGTTAGAGCCTCATACCTCTTTTAAAGTTTAGAATGAAATGGACTGCCAGTTTGATTTTCCGAAGACTGCTAGGGCTTTTGTGTTTCGTTGTTTTGAGTCGATTCAAAAAGCCCATCTCTTGAATAAAGGGATTAACAAGAAGTTGTTTACTTTTTATGTGAAAAAATCAAAGCCTCAATTTGAATCTTGAAGTTTGGAGAGAATCGTTGCTTTAAAAGTTAGAAAACCAATAGTTGTTGATGGTTACATAAATGTTGGTTTAAAAGTTTTCATAGGTCACAATTAGACTTTGCATTAACTTTTATTAGCATATATTCCTTTCTTAAATCCTTATGGTTGGATATCTTTGTTTAACATTGTTGCAAAGGATGCGGTGAAATATGAGCCCATTTTGCAATTCTTAATAAGGATGATAAGGGCTTATATCCTTGAAATTGTGAAAATGGATATTGAAATTGCATCAGTTCTCAATCGGAAGCCTATCATGAAACCATTTCCTCATCCTAAAAAGCAAGATCAATTTCAGTTCGGTTTTATTGATAATGAATTATGGGGAATTGCTTGCAAGATGAAGGAGAAAGAAGAAGTAAAGCATTACATGGTGTTCATAAGAGATAAACATCTTTATTCCACTTTCATTCTGAATCAAATTGTTGCAAAGACTGAAGCTAATAAGAAGAACAAAGTGGGAGATGTAAAGTGTATTGCAGATATGACCAAGTGGTGGATAGTCATTCAGACGACTATATTGCAAACCATTATGAAGATGTTTGAAGTGAAGGAGAAAGAGGCGAAAGAGGAAGAAAAAACCATTTCGACAACTAGACACAAAGGGGGAGATTGTTAAGGTTCAGATTCAGATTGTATCAAACCTATATGTGTTCGTAATGATTAACGTCTTTTCTTTAATTCCGAAATGATTGTTGTTTTTCCGATTTCGAAATGAGTACTTAATTTTAGGTTTGCAGATCTGAACTGTCGACTTAGAATTCCTTTATAGTGCTTATTGGATGCCTATATATAGAAGTATTAGTTAGAAGAGAGGAATGAGAGTTTTTGCACGTAGAATAGTTCTGCACATCTTGTAACGAATTGTTCTCTTTCTCATTCTTCTAATGCAAACATACCTTATTTACCTTGTTGTGTTCATTCAAATCTACATTTTATGTTTTCATTTTAGAATCTATCGTTCCTACAAAAATTCTATCAACAACAAATAGTTGTATTGTATCAGGAGGAATACTACTAACAAAACTAAGAAAGATATTTGATATCACTATCGTCAAGAATCAACAAAATATATGCATGGATACGTGATAATTGCCCACCACAAAAAACTAACACTAAAAAAATTCCTTATACAAACTCATTCTTTTAGAATAGGAAAACTAGCAAAGAAAACTTCTTGTGGAGGAGCAAAGACAAAGAAATGTACCGCAATTGGGGAACAAAGACAAAAATGTAATGCATATGGCTTGTGGATGAACAAAGAGCACATAAATACCCTAATTTTTCCTTTCTGGAACAACACTCTAGAATACATTTTTTCAGATTGGAACGTACGAATGTCACATTCTGGACTCGATACCTATCAACCACCACCGACTCCGGAATGAATATGAATACTTCGGAATACAATGTTTTTGAGTATATAGTCTGGAATACACTTTTCAGTCCGGAACAAGGTGTCATATTCTAGATCCGATACTTACCAAACACCGTCAATTCCGAATGAAAATAACTACTTTGGAATATGATACTCCATATTAAATGGTCATTTTATAAGATTTAGAAAAATAACTAATTATTTTTTTATCAAATTGTTCATTTATATTGATTAGATTACTCCATTTTCTTTTTTTCCTTTTGATATTTTATAAGTTAAGACGTAAATAAACAATCTAATGTCAGCGCTCACAAATTTGGTTTTTAAATATGAAATAAATTGTTTATTTACATTTTTTTGGCCTAATCTAAAAAGCTTTAGACGGAAATCCTTTTAAAAAATTATACTCCGTATTTGTTTTCACTTTAACAAATTCATCGAACACTCCAACTATTTACTATATATAATATTATATTTGGAACACTTCCAAACATAGCATTCTACAACACTTTTTATATAATAATGCATGTAATATTTTATCATTTAAAAATCACTCTTTTTAAATATGGTAATATCAACTCCATAAGTCTTTTTAACTTACAAGGTCTATCTCAAACGACTTCTTTACCATGATCTGGGGAAAAAAATAACAAATATAAAAATGGAAAATGGAAATTAAACTATCAGTATTCAGACATCAACGCCAAACTCATCAAAAAACGTAGCGTAAACATGAAGGTATAATCGTAAATAAACAGTAATTTATGCCTCTTTTAAGTACCAAAATCTACCTCGTTAGAATTGCAAGATTTGAAATCTAATCAATGTGGCAACGTGACGATGATCATGCAATGACACTTGACGCATTCACTTCTCCCCCAACATCTTCTTCAGGGACCCACCTACCGTTATCCATCTCCGTCAATCCAACCAAAGGTAAGGTTGCCATTTATTATACCTAAACCGTGAATCCACCGTTAACAAGACGTTCAATTGTCACCACCGTTAACTAAAATACGGTGGCGCTAATAAATAACGAGGCGGAGTAAACGGCGGTGGGTGGTGGTTGACTGACACGGTCGACGTTGTCAGTCGGTGGTTGCCCCAACCCACTTTCGGCGGATCGTGTTTCGTGTATCCCATAGAGCTTTAGAACCTCCGAAACAATTTATTATTATTAATTTATTATCGCAGGTGATTTAGAACAGGATATTAAAATCTCCTGTTATAATCGCTAATAACTACATACCCAATTTCAATATATTTTATGAATCAATTTTGCATTATTAGTTATTTATAATCAGAAATAGTGGCTATAGATATTTTTTAGAGTTGAATTTAAAAAAAAACACATATTTTTTTCATAAATACCCAAATGAGATATCTTAAGAGAATTATCCTCTCTTTTGGCCCCACTAATTTAAATGTCTTATTTTTTTTTTTTTTTCTGTGTAATAATTATAAAACTGATTAATATAATGAAGAGGTTTATTGCTTATTGATATGGGAGGATTATAATGAGATTATTATTTTTTTTTGGTATAATGAGAAGAATTGTAATAATTATAACCTATACAATTAATCAGGTGTACTAAGGCAAAAATAATATAATAATAATAATAATAAAATTAAAAAAAAAAAAAAAAAAAAACTTAATGTACAGTTCCGTGGAACTGCTAATGAGGTCCGCGAAGGTACTTCCGCGGAACTATTCATCAAGGTTTTATTATTATTATTATTATTATTATTATTGAATTAATACTTCTGATCTAATTACGATTTTTCCATTCCGCGAAACTATAGTGGATTCCAAGGAGCCTCGGAGCTCACTTCCATGGAATCCATGTTTATACTCGAAAATGCGATATATAATAATAATAATAATAAAATTAAAAAAAAAAAAAAAAAAAAACTTAATGTACAGTTCCGTGGAACTGCTAATGAGGTCCGCGAAGGTACTTCCGCGGAACTATTCATCAAGGTTTTATTATTATTATTATTATTATTATTATTATTATTATTGAATTAATACTTCTGATCTAATTATGATTTTTCCATTCCGCGAAACTATAGTGGATTCCAAGGAGCCTCGGAGCTCACTTCCATGGAATCCATGTTTATACTCGAAAATGCGATTTTTTGTTTCTAATTTTTAAAATTCAACCCTAAAAAATATCTACAGCCAATATTTTTCTCATTTATAATTCTAGTAATTTTAATATAGAAAAATGGTAATTTATTTTTAAACATTTTACTATATAATAGTCATAAAAATAAAAAATGGTCCAAATAGCTATTATTTTTACGATCTAACCATTTATACAAATCTGGTTGATTGCGAAAAAACGATTTATTTTTGAGATTTTCGTAAGTCAACACGTGCAAATACATAATTAACTATAATTCATTTTTCTTTAGATTTTTTTTAAGTCATCTTTGAGATTATGAGAAACCAAATGATATAATAATTGTTGTGAAGTTTGTATGAGAAAATGATTCTTTATAGATTTTTGTAGGTTAATTTTGTGATAGGGAGAACCCAAATGATATGGTGAATTGATGATTATTATGAATGTCATTTATGAAAATCTTTTTTTTTTTTTTTTAATTTGGAGTTAAAACATATTACTTTCCGCCTTCCAAATCGAGAGCATAATATGTTTATGGAAAACCCTTCTTACAAATAACAAAATGAAAAATATTCAAATCAAATAGAGTTCATATGTAAAATTTATGATTGACCAAAGATCAGTTTTTTTAATATTTTTTACCGATTGACCTACTTTGAAGAGTAAAGAGTAAACTACACGAATGGCTCCTATGGTTTGGAGTAATTTGCGTGTTTGGTCCATAACTTATTTTTTTAACTCGGAAGATCCCTACTGTTTGTTTTTGTTACGCGCTTGGTCACTACTGTTTGTTTTTGTTACAAGTTTAATTCCTGTCTTACCTAAAACGATTATTATTTAAATAGAAAAAATGATGGGGTGGGTAAGGTAAGGTGAGAGAGCTGGGATTGTGGGTGTGTTTCCTTAAATAAATTAAAAAATCAAGGGCAAAATAATCTTTTTATATATGACAGGGACCAAGCGTGTAACAAAAACAAACAATAAGAACCTTCCGAATTAAAAAAATAAATTAGTGACCAAATGCTCAAGTCATCTAAAACCATAAGGACCATTCGTGTAATTTACTCAAGATTAAAAGTATGACTTGCCGAACGTAATATATCAATGGAAAACCCTTCAAAAGAACACAATAAAAAAACAATAAAATTAAAAAAAAAAAAAATCAAACAAAATTCATATGAAAAGAGCATGAGAGTTGGAAGTTTGCAAAAGAAAAAATTCACATCCAACAACAAAAATCTATATTTTCACAATTGGCAAATTGCGAAATTGTGACTATTTTGATCATTTTCTTATTTTCTTACTGTTTCGTAAAAGCTTTTAAAAGCTATATTATGATCAAAATTTTAATATAATTCTGGCCAGTTGTGAAATAAAGTGTCATATCGGGTGCTTGGTTGTAATAATAAAAGAAATTCAAAATATGTTGTTTTTGTTAGTTAAATAGATCGCGTAAAGTTTAATATTACCAAAGTAGGTTCTGCTGTTATACCATTAATTATTTAATATTAATTTTGATATTTGTTTTATATTTTTCAAAAGCTGACCTTCGGTTAAATTATAAATTTTAGATTTTAAATTAAACCATTCTGACATTTTTAAATTTTAAAACTTGAGACGACATGTTTTCATGTGTGTATATTTGAAATCAATATATATTATTATTTTGCTTATTTTTTGAAGTCTGAACGCCTGCATATTTTATTTTACTGTTTAAACTTTAAACCATTGGGAATTTAATACATGTCGAGTAAGTACCACTACAGGACACAACTTTTGTCTTTATTGACTATTTCGACATTTTTTAATATCTGTTTCTTTCATTCGTTCTCGAAAAGATCTTATAAACTCTAGAGTTAGGGTATTCAGCGGGTAATTTTTTTGGATTTCGGATAATTTAGGTTTTTCATGTTAGAAAAAATACCCGTTATTCTACCTAAACTAAATTCGGGTACCTTGGGTATCGGGTCGGGTTTGCGTAATTCGGGTATTACCCGAAATATAATTTTTTTTTTTTGAATTTCATCTGAAAATAAATTTAATGAAATAAATATGCCATGTTTTATTAGTCTTCTTTATATAAACAAACGAATCATAAACGAAGTTACTCAA